CAATTAGTCAATTATGCTTACTTGTATTGGGACCTAAATAGTTTTTGTTTTGCTTCTTGAGTTCTCACTTCCAATTATGACGCACCCGACAATCGAGTCCCATCGCGTATAGCCGTGCATTATAGTTGGAACGAAATATGTATACAGGGGGGGGCCAAAAAAAAAGACATTTTGCCTCCACTTCCAGATGGATTTAAGCACATTTTACTCAACTCAGACCGAACGGTTCCAACTTATTATTAAAGAGTGCATTCCATTCTATAAGAAAATCTTCATAGTGGCCACGTACGTGGACGGCATCAGAAGAATTAGCCCTGGAAACATGGTGCACTGGTCGATCTCAATGGGGTCTTCGAAGGATCGTGTACCATAACGACCCTTACTGGAAAGCTAGTTCCGAGGGGATTTGCACAGTGGTAGCTAATGCCTCTAGAAAACTATCCAACATTAAATCGATTCACGAAATTGCGTAAGAGCTTCAGGCTGAAGCTCTTACGGTAGACCTCCTTGAGCCTGACGACGGTGACAGATGACGTCATATTCTGAAGACGGTGAGGGCAGTGAAGGAGAGCCTGCGTACACTAATAGAGGAACACTTAGGGAATACTCTGCTGAGGAACTCCCGTCAACGACAGCAATCTCTGCGAAGAAAAAAGAGCCGAAGTCCGACATAGGCAAAATGTCTTTTTTTTGCCCCCCCCCCTGTATTATGCGGGTAGTCTCAAGTAACACCCTGTTTGCACGTTGCCCCAGATAAGTGGTTACAAGGCTTCTGTCAATGAAACGGTGAGATTGCAAACGGACAAAGCATACAGTTCGTGAGGTTTCAAAACTAAGCCTTTCCAAGGAAATGAAGAAAGCAGCAGGCATAGTGCGTAGTCTGAGAACCTCCGAGACAGCGCTATAAAAATCTAAAATTGCTTAGCCACACGGTTGACAGAAGTCCAAAAAACAAGATAACACAATTTGCCGTTGAGAAGGGTTGGTAGCACTGGAGACTTGTAGCTCAGAATTGTGAATTGGGCACGTTTCAAATCCATCAGGAATTTCCTAAATGGGTCTGTTTAGCCAAGGAATGGCGGATCACTGTAACTGATGACCGATGTTATATGATAGTTGTAAGCTATAACTTCCAAGAATATCAACAAATTTGCGACCACCACTCTGAACAGAAGAGTTTATTTATTTATTTATTTATTTATTTATTTATTTATTTATTTATTTATTTATTTATTTATTTATTTATTTATTTATTTATTTATTTATTTATTTATTTATTTATTTATTTATTTATTTATTTATTTATTTATTGACGTAGACGTGAGCCCACGTGGACTAACCGTACATAACAAAAAGCCAGCTATGGGCATGAACCCACTAAAGTCCAGTGAAGTGAATGATTTTAAAGATATGTGGAAGAAAAAAAAACAAACGCAATGAAACAACTGTGGGACTAAAAAAGCCTTAAAACATTAAAAAAAGTGAGTGGCCCTCTTCTCCATCAGCATGTTCGCCGGCTGCAATATTGACTTTCTCAAGTGATAGCCTCTAGCGTCAGCAGTTCATTATCACTGGTCAATGAATCGTGAAGGAATCTAATCTGCTTCGTAAGTGGGAAGTCCGTAGAGAATCTCAGGGTGGGTAAACAATGGTACGAGCCAAATTTTCGCACCCTATGTGCGAAGTGACCTCATTAGGGCTGACGGCTTAGGCTCACAACCAGGGTCAAGCGAGGCGTCGAGGAAAATTTGGAAATACGACCCCCCCCTCCCCCGCCGGAGGCCAAAGTCCATGAAACAACCCTCTTTAAAAGCCGAACTATGAAAAGGTTGTTTAATTCTCCCCAAAACTAAACTGCTCATAAAAAAGCCGCTACCCCACCGTCCACAAAAAAATTTAAGAAGTACAAAAAAGAAAAAGTCAAAGAATGATCATTATTGATGAGTCCTACCAAACGAGCAAACGAGAAACAGACCAAAAAACGACAAACTAGCCACTAAAAATGGCATACTATGACAACATCTGTTCTTTATTTATTTCCTCCACAAGACTTACCAAATTCTAGTACTACACAGATTGTGGTTCTCAATTTGCACGTAGCCCTTCAGTTGAAAGAAGCTTTTTAACCGCCTTCGCCAGCTGTGTGTTGACTGGACTTTGGCGTTGACCGTGGAGCAGCTTATTTACTATTGAAATTTGAACAAATATTCAAATGATTATAACTTTCTTCAAATATGACGAATTTTCAATCTGAAAGCAGATTTGGAGTTTTGTGAAGAGCTTTTTCTAATCAGTATTGAAATTACAAAAAGTTATAAGAAATAACAAATTTAGATCAATTAACGAGGAAAATTCGAGATGAGCACGAGTTTTTACACTTTCCGAAGCAATAACTTGCTTCATTTTCGTCAAATTCGAAAAGTTAATATGGCAGACAAAACTAGAAGATTTTCTCTATCAAACGGTTGCTAAAGCAGCTCTATACGTCCAGTATTCAAAAAATGGCCACGTTGAGGATTTTCGCAAAATTAACGAGGAAAATTTGTGATGAGTGCGAGTTTTTTTACTTCCTAAAGCCATAACTCCGTTCAAACTCATCCAATCCGAAAAGTAAATACGCCATCATAAACTAGAAGATTTGCTCTATCAAATGCTTACTAGAACTGCTCCAAACGTCCAGTATTAAAAAAACGGCTACGTTGAGGATTTTCGCACGAGTACCGCCGAAAGGTACTTTTTCGCTACATTGGCACTATTTCAACGGCTGTATATCCTTTTAAGGGCGATTATGTACTAAAGTAAGAGCAGATTTGGAATCACTGCTTTTCTCTCTAAGAAAAGTGATTGATTAGCGTTTCTCAACTTTAAAGGTTACATGTTTATAAATTTAACCCTGAAGAGTCCGTTAACGCAATGTTGAATGGTGTACACCTCCCTGTAAATGCGCACGGACACTTTCAGAATTCTCTCGATTGTTCCTGAATTGAGGTTGTTTGTCCAAGGAGCCGTAGTTGAAGCGCGCGCAACAACTAGACCCTTTCTCGGATGCGCCGTGTACCTCACATCCCTTCAGATTCGGGGTCTTACTTGAAAGATGAAATATCTCTTGGAAAGCGTGCGAAATTCAGATTCTTTAACTTGTGTGGTGATAAAACACTGAAGTAACTAAGAATTACCGGACGCCTCAGAATCACGAAAATTTTGTGTGGGTGAAATATCATTTTCATTGGAAATCCTCTGGCCTGGCATCGACTCATCCTTGATATTTGTCTTCCGACGGTGATGATCCCACTGCATCAAAATGGCTCGATCTCTTCCACCCAGCGGGCCAATACGACCCCCCCCCTGCGACGTGTCGAGGATTCCTCAACGCACGCTTGACCCTGTGGTCACAACACCACCCACACCTCTATGCTAATCAGGTAAAACGCAGTTAATTGAGGAAACAAATCATTCATAATAATAGTTGAAAAATACTCATTTATTACACAAATTCATAAACATAATATAGTCTATTAGGTTGGAAAGAAAGTCCTGCAACACTTTTTCAAACTTTTTATTTTAATTTTATCTTTTTTGTTTACAACTCCTGACCGGTCTTATATCTACCATGAGTGTCCACCACTTGTCTTCAACGCTCAGAAAATTTCTTGATGCTCCTTTGCCAAAACCCAGCGGAGTGCGGGTCGAGAAAGGAGGCGACCTCACTTTCGAGTTGGAGTTGATCGTCTAATTATTTCGTCATCAAGATGATGATTTAAGGTCAGGATAGGTGGCAGTCATTTATAGCTCGACCAGGGGAATACGCTAAGAGAGGTAAGAAATCTTGCCGCAGCTCCAGAATTTCTTACCGGCTCATTTCGGATCATAGCGAGTGCAATGTCATATTAGAAATAAGTTTCGTCGCGGTACTAGGGCCCCTGACAAGCTGCTTCCGCCAACCGGCTCCTTCCTGATAGAGATCGTTCAAACTGCAAAATATAGGCATCTATGCTAGCTTGAATCCCTGCCATAACCCCTCCTCAAGGTGTTTCTTTTTACCAGGGGTCCTGCGAAGTGGTATGAGGGCATATCTCTAAGTGACTTGCTTGAGGGAGGACAGTAACGTTTGGCTAGACGTGAGGTTTTCATCGAAAGCATGCGGATCTCCTTGATTCCATCCACTCCTGTTCGCTTAGTTTCACAGTAAAGTGTTCAGGTGTAGTTTTGTAGTTTCTAATACCTTGCTTAAGCTTTCAGTTATAACTAGTTAGTGATAGTTGATTGGTGATAACGGGTCATTTTCAGATTGTTTTTTTTATATTTTAGATTGGCAGTATTTTCCCTTTTGAATACAAATTCTTTATTCATGTTGTTTTGTTGTATGGTTTTCCAATTTGACTGCCATTTCTACGTGTCTAGTACACATGTTTGGGTGGTGTTGTGACCCCTAGGCCGTCTCCCTTAAAGCAACAGTTCAGGGAGGGTCCGAAAATTTCAATGCCACTACTACTGAGGGATACACGAGCCCTAGTGAAGAACATATGCAGTGGAAATAATAAACGAACTTACCTCAGAAACTCAAAAACAGGGTGGAAAGTCCCTCAAACATGGGTGTTCTTGGGGATTTCCCCAATCCCGCCCCCTTGCCGGCCGTCATTGGACGCGTCGGCAATCGTGCTCGTTTTGGGACCACAGGGAAAATTGATTGAAAAATGGAGCGCGTTTACAGCGGGCACGTTCAGACAACTCGTCCAACGTGCGTCTTTATCCATTGCTGAGCGGCAGAGGGAGAGTACCTGTCTAAGACCCTCCCCGACGTTTTTTTCCAGTTTTTCATACATTAATCGTCTGGTTTTCATCTACAACTTCATTATTGGTGGTTTTTTCCCGCGAAACCGTTCCTGAACTGTTGCTTTAATGATCACTCGCAGTTACCCGCGGAGTATTCTTAATTAGGTGTGAATCGTACCATCCTTTACTGACCCAGAATCTCAAGAGCGTTCTTAGACGAGGAGGGAATGGTTCTGCGATTCAGCTTCTCGCTGTTCGATGAAATATGGGAGTCTAACCATAAGGCTCATGCAATTGCATTTCAGGTTGAAAAGGACTGCCATATCATTGTCGGCTGCTTGGAACAATCCGAAGACGGCACAATTTTTGTGAAGCAAAACCTGGCGCTCTACATTTATCGAGACTCGGTCGGTTGCTTTGCTGGAAGAATCGTCTGCAGCCGACTTGACATGAGGTTTGCTTGATATTTCTGTGCGTTTGGGCTGCTTGCGTGCCTTCCGGCATTATAAGGGCTTACGTCCTGGTTGTCGTTCAAACATGTTTGAAACTAAAACCCATTTTCAGAATGGGTCATGAGAGTTCGAGCTTAACCTCGCCCGTTAAGGAATCATTTTGACGGGTTCTAAAATTTAATTGTTGATTCGATGAGTTTTCCTATTTAACAACGAAACAAGAGTTACACTTAGAGGACTGACCGTAACTCAGCATTCTTGTGAAACTTTTTCAAAGCGAAGTGCGCCGTTAAGACAGCAATTAACAACGACATGAGTCAAAATTACTATTTCCTAATTGTATTGATTTGTTTCAGATGTTTCCGACGATGTCAGTACGACGGCTACTTGAAAGCTAACGATGCCGAAATCTATCTGCCCTATATGAATGAGTCACAACTAATCGCCACTGGTCAAATGGATATTCTTGTCTCACCACTAACTTTGAAAGGGAACAGTTCGTTCGTGGAAGTAACGCCGACAGCTCCACACCCTTTTCCGGCGTTTATTCTCGATGGCCATCTGAATGTGCACGCTGTTGTCGCTCCATTTCTAGCAGTCGAGCTTTCACCAGAATCATTAGTGAGGCTTCCGTGGTATTGAATCGACAACTCCTGGAGCAGATTTCAATATCCTTATGTCTGTGGGAGCCCTGACGACGGGTCGAAGCAGTTCAATGTTGTCTGTGACTGAGAGTGCCCGAGCCGAAGGCATCATCTGCGCGTCGACATTCTACCATGAAGGACAAATCAGGTTCCAGGCTGAAGATGTGCATATCCTAACAGGGTCATTTGGTCCACAAAGGGCGCCTCACGAATTGCGAGCACAAGCAGAATCACGTGAAACGCTGTCACATAGTTGTTGAGGAAATGTTCCTCAATGAAGGCACGCTGGCTTGTAACTCGCTGGATATTGTCGGCGAAGGTGTGCTCGAAAATAAGAACAGGATCTTTGCCGTTGATAGTATGGACATTCGTCTGAACAACTTCAGCAACGACGATGGACTGATGGAATCCAAGAATTCGATCAAATTACTCTCAGCCACGAAGGAATGGACGAAGCTGGGCGGCTCCATCAAAGCCAAGCGTGGATTCGATCTGTGTGCACACAAGCTGGATATGGCTCTGAACGACGTGCACAAGCTGATCAACGAGAAGAAGCTCTCGTTTCTCGGCGAGAAGCGATCTGATCATTTCGACAAACATTTGTGATGAAATGAAAGAGTTTGTCGTTGGCTGCGCTGCTCAGAACTCAGTAGCCATCAACGCCGTGATGGAACTGGACAGACTGGAGGTTCTTCTCGGAGGAGAGCATCACGTCGATGCTCCGGTCACATTCAAAATAACTATGGAAGCTGACCTCAATGTGAACACGCTTGTCATCAATGGCTCTGCCAGCCACCTTGTTGTAGTACTCGACGGTGTGCTCCGTTGTAATCGTGTCAAAGTCGCTGAAACTTTCAAAAATGTCACCATCACCGGAAAAGGATCACTTGATAGTCAGCTGGTAGCGGCTGAAGGCTCAAACATCAACTTCAATGTCTACCAGATCTTCCGCACGAATGAGATGTTCTGCAGGAATGTAATTGTGCAGCAGGACTCTCTTCTGCGTCTGCAGCCCTGTGACGACCATGACGTCACTACCGTATCTTGTGACAGGATACTTATTGAGGGTACTGTATTCGTCGAACGTAAATTGCTGTTGGTGTCAAAGAAGTCCGACATAGGAGAACTACAAATCCGCGGCCCAATAATTGGCACAACGCCGGATAGTGAAGTGTCTATCGAGAGTACGAAGGTTTCCATTGCTGGACAGGTCGCTAATTTGAAACTGTTCGAAATCTACGCTCGCGACTCGACCCACTTCTCGCTGGCCAAACTGAAAAATGTTAGATCGGTGGCTATCGATTGCAGCGAACTGACCCTGAATGCTGACATTGACTCCTGTGACAATTTTGTTGTGAACGCTGATGCAGTGAATTTATCGGGCACCTGTTCCAGTGCAAGCTCATCCGGAGCGTTGTCTGTATATTGTAGCTCCCTGCAGTCGTCTATCAATGTCAGCAATATTACGCAGATGTACCTCAGCTGCAGAAGAGCAGCATTGATTAGGGGAACAATTGAAAACGTGGACAGCATTGAAATTGACGCGAAATGGATCAATAACCATGCGTCATTGGTGAAATGCGTTGATGTCAAGCTCACAGCTTGGTCTATCCACTTTTGTGGCTCTTCTTCATTGACGAAGTTGAAAATGACGTCACTCGGAGTCACACTCATCAATGGCACCATAAACGCGGCTGAGCTTAGCGCCACGGCTCCGTTCATAGTCGCTATGCAGCCGTCGTCGTCTTTGATGGCAGAGAAGCTGGAGCTTAATTCCCTGTGCCTATGTACCAATAACGATCTGAAATTGAGTGGAACGAATTATTTGTGGCTTGTGTTCGAAGAAATGGTCTACAGACCAAAACTAACTCTCACCCAGGCGAACAACTGGAAGGAAACGGCAGAGATGATGAAGGATCGCTTCAGTAGTCCCACTATTGACGTTGACGAAGTAATTGTTGGACTGAAATATCTGGGCAGCGATTTGCACTATAACGAAAATCTCTCTGGAACAGATTCGAAACATGAAACTTACGAGGAGTTGTGCAGGATGTCTCAACGATTCGATGGTGCTCCTATCAGTTTGTTCAACATTGCGGATCTTGTGGCGTTGATCTATGGAGGACGGTCAGTGTTCGCAGTGTCGACGGCTGTGGAAAGGAACGAGGAGAATCGAAGGCGCGAAAAAGAAGAGTTACGGTGAGTTTTTAAAAAATTTCGTTGTCTGAACTCAGAACTGGGCCTCTTGCTTTTCTTCTACTTTGTCTACTGCCACTTAGGCTTGTTTACATGTCCCAATCTCCATTTTGCCTTAGAGAATGTCATAAACGTTGTCTTCTACAGGCAATTGGTTAGCGCAACCCGCTTTTTTGCAACATTTTTCTTATTTGCTATGTCGTTTAGAGATATTCTTCCATAAAGCCATCCTACGCGTAACCCCCAGGGTTCAGAATAACCGGTTGACCTGGGCAGTGAGCTGTTCAAATAGCGAATTATGATCGTCAAGTGTTCCTCACATTTATGTCCCGCTGAGACACGCTGCGATTCACCGAGTAACAGGGAGCGCTGTTGTTGGTTTGTAGTTTTGGAATTCCCTTACCTCCTTGCAACTGCGCTGTGGCTGTTAGTCAGAACATCCTACCAAAACACTAACTCACCAGTTGAACATATCTTAATTCTTACGTCACATAGTAGCGTGATTTTGAGTAGAGCGGAGTTCGATCATAGGTCCAAGGGTTTTTTAGGGGTTTTCAAGCAACCTGTTCTAATGTGAGGGAAAAAAACTTAAGTACGAATCTTCCCATGGTAAAATATTGAATCACAAGCATAGCAGCAAATTTCTCAGGAATCCAGATAAATGTTTCATGGTACTTTCAGGAAGCGCGCTCTACGAAGGATTAGTTCAGTTCAAATCGGCTAAGTACGGCAAAGAGTCTCGAGGCTCATCAGACACCGACGTGGGCTACGTTAGTAGGAGTTCTAGTGAAGAGCTGGATCGATCAAGGTAGTGCATCTAGACACCTGCCTTCTATTTTTGCCAACCCTGTCATTGACTGATTGTTGTTTAGATCACCGAGATCGCCGGAAGTGCCAACGTGTAGTCTGTTCAGTGAGAACCACTTCCACGTCATCGAAGAAAAACTGGAGAGGTCGTTCGTCAGTGACATTACTGTTGAGGAGCTGAATGCGTCCCTGATCGAGTACGTTCCTACGGATGTGATTGATTGATCCTCAAAACAAATTCCGTCATTAGCTCAGTGTAATATGCTAAGTCAGTGAAAGAGTGAATGGTGCTGGAAAAGGCTGTAGTACGACCACTGCAAACGAAAGCGGATTTATTTATTGCATGTGTCGGGCACATGGAAGAAGCACAACTTCGAAGCCAACAAAAAAACCACTATGGCCGACGATATCGGCTTAAACGCTTGTTGGCCCGTCTTCGCCGTGCGCCCTCACCCCCGCTGGCATCTCCCTTACAAGGGAGGTCTTTCAGGGCAAGCCACGCTTTTTCAAAACGGTTTGTGCATATTGTAGGGACGCATGTAGGGAACACAAAACCATGTTTCATTTTCGCTGAACGGTTATAGCAGTACCAAAAAAGAAGCATAAGGTACTGTTAATGGTTCGATCCCCGTGGCGACTAAATTTTGCATTTGGGTTGGCGCCTACGGTTTGGTGCCAAATCGCGCTAAATGTCAAAATCAGATGTCAATTCATCGTCAGGACCATTTTGAAGCCAACAAGTGGCCGCCAACCTTGATTGCAAAATTTAGTCGCCGCGGGGGATCGAACCATCAAGGGTATCATTCACCACTTTTTTGGTACTACTAAAACCGTTCAGCGAAAACGAAACATGGTTTTGTGGTCCATACATGCGTCCCTACAATATGCAAGAAACCGTTTCCAAAAAGCGCGGCTTGCCCTGAAAGACCTCCCTTGTTAGGTCTGTTCTCATTCATGCCCTTACCGTCAGATTCACTCATCACTACGCACTCTCTCTTTTGTGTGATGATCCTATACAGTGCCATAGATCAACTATGAAAAGAAGTGTGCTTGTGGCGTTTTTGACAATACTTCTCTGTTCCTTCTCCCTTGTAGGGTCACGTAGCTCCTACCGATCCATATTTGAACACCACTATCCCCATATTTAATTTGCAGTGCAATCCTTAATCGGTATACGGAGAAGTGGAACGGGCGCTTCTCTGTGAAATGCAAAAATACTTCGCGTCATTATGAATCGAAGTTGTCAGTAGCATCGGGTGTTCTGAGGAAGAATTGCGATGGTAAATTGCGCATGTTACTCTAATGATCTGAAACATGTAGATATGAGCGGTCTGTGGCAAAAGTCGAAAATAGATGTTAGCTTATTCACTTATTTTTCTTATGCGTTTATGTTCTGAAGGGAAAAAAATATTTAAAAAATCGTCATAACAAAAAACTCGTGTATTCTCAATCTCTCTTGCGAAAATTGAACCGCTCTCACTCGCAAGATGTTAGGGAACTTTTGAAGAGTATTTGTTCAATAAATTCGATCATATTTAGACAAGAAGAACTAGCCGAATTCGAGCTGCTTGAGCAGGAAATCGAGGAGGGAGAAGAGGGATTGGTCCGAACCGATTATATTATCTGCCGAGATGAACGAATACAATTGGCGCGGTGAGTGTTTATTCGATTGCAGCCTGCATTTCATTCAAAGTGCTGCGAAGGGTTGACTATGCCTGGTTTGTGCAATCGCTTTAAAGGCGGAGTTTACGATTAGAATGCAGCTCATTAGAAGTAGAGGTGATCATAGAGGTGGGGGTGGTGCCGGGATGAAGAAAATATCTTTGAAACTGTCCAGACTCCGTTTTTGAGACCCCTTTCTTATCCGTTGTTTTCCGCATCGATACGTTTCTCATAGGTGCTACCTTCTTCAACGCTAACGCGCTACATATCTCGCTGCCCGTAGCGAGTGGTTAAACCGGTCGGTGGGCGTGTCCTGCAAGGGCGGTCATGCTCAGTCGCCGAGGGGATATCCTTCGCTGCGATGGCGTGTTGCTCCTCGCTTTTAGAGGGTCAGAATCTCTTCCCGCTGGGAAGGTTTCTGTTTTTTCGACCTTCGACTTTATCGCAGAATCCTCCTTTGAGGCATTATTATCAGAAATCAAAAAGAGAACAGTGAATTGTGCCGGGCCTGTCAAAGTCACACTACCATGATCTCCAAAAAGTAGGGCAAGAGTGGCACGGTGCGAAGTAGCTTCCCTAGGTTGAGCGAATAGGCGCTGAAAACAAGAAGGTTCGGGGACGCGTTCTGCCATCTGTTGACTCAAACAAGGTCTTTCGTAAGACGTTATTCCTATGTTGATTGATGGCTATCACGCCTTCAGTAATGCGCTCCAATAGCATCACTCGTTTTCAAAATTCGGTATTATGCACGACGGGTGATCCGAGCGTCCTCTGAAAATGATTTATGTGAAGGTTGAGACCATCTCCGTGGGCGGATACTTTCTGCGATTGGGTATGAAGCGTTAGCGTTATTATTTTGGACCAAGGTTATAATGCTGTAAAGGATTTAGTTAATGAAAATACGCAATTAAGAAGATGCGTTGATACAGTCGGTCAGTGGCTTTATGGACCAATGGTAACAGGTAAGAGTTCAGAACCAATCTTCTGATCTGAGTACCAATAACCTTATTATCCGTGACCTACGCACAGTGCGCACAAAGCCGGATGCATAAAATTAAAAATAGCGGAAGATGTGACGGGAGCACCTTGCTCTTCGAAGTTGTCAGGGTGCAGATATTGCTGTAATGTTTGGGCGCTGATCTCCGTTGCAGGTATTTGAATCATTCTGTGTTACAGTCTCCGACAGCATACGGTCACCTCACAACCACCCCGACCAAAACCTCATTTTCCGATTGTTCGGGTGCCGTCTTCGAACGACTTGGTGATGAAGCGACTGCAGGTTTGGATTGATGAATCGATTTCTTTTGAATTGCTTCAATTTCTGGAAATGTCTATCTTCTACTTCACGTCTCTGCAGGTGAAAGCAACGTTGTCAAACCTCGATCTACGATCTTTCGGTAGCGAAACTTCGCTGACGTCTCTTGACCTTTCCTGTGCAGGCGATTTGGGCTCGCCCATGCAGTTCGCCGCTAGTCCATTCCAGAGGTGCGTTTTTATAATATCACACATATCATCGATGA